GTTTTTTTTATCATTTGGAGACTTGGAGAAGTTTCGGGCAGTTTTAGAAAGGGCTTGCGTACAGTGTATTTGTAGTTGCCTTGACACCTGATCATGAGTAATTTGATTTAAATTTATTATTTTCGGTGGAATCCCACCCAGAATCTTCCAGCTATAGTTTATTGGCAGAATCCCATCTTGAATTAGTAGGATTTTGCCTTTATTTGTTACATGAAAAGTGCAAGTTAAATTTTTATAACACAAATTGATTAAAGATCTATAGAAACATTTAAAAAGAAATTTAAACACTACTGAGTACATGACATTCTGGCATCATCTTGTTGCCACAGATTAAAAAAAATTTTTAGGTCGTACAGTTTGAAAAGATCTTAGTTTAGGTGTGAAATTACTTTTTATTTACATGTAATACATAATTATCTTTCTTATGCCAAATGTACAACAGAAGAAAACAATCCTTTTGCAAAGTAGTTAGAGATCTTTTTATTTCTTACCAAGAGGTTGTAATGCCTGACTTCATGACCTCGTGAAATACTTAGTGTCTGGTAAATAGAGAAGCCTGGTTTGGGTAGAAGAACATTGTCACCAGGATTAAGGAGGACATCGAGAGCGAGCTCCAAAGCGCCAGAACATCCACATGCCAAAACAACATCCTAAGATAAAGCAGTAAATAATACATATACATTAATTCTATACTTAAATATAGTTAGTATTCGTGTAACAGTTACTTAACAAGAAACAAATAAATTAAACTAAACTAAATTACAGTGTTTGAATATCCAATCTTTACCTTGTAAGTTATTGGAGATAAGGGAAAGGAATGTTCTGCAGCAATGGCCTCACGTGCTTTGATATAACCTACAATGCAAAATAATGGCGTAAGTTAATACATTAATTATAGAAATAAAGTGGCTGATTTTTTTAGAAAAATTCCTGTTTTGAAATAGTATGTTTTGAATTAAGCCAGAAAGCTTCAATAAACTAGCTTTTACTTGTTTTAAAGAAAGTTTTAGGTCACAAGCAGTAAAAAGTAGTTAATGGAGCAATGATGTGATGATTGGGTGAAATCTTTGAATGCTTTATTATGTCAAGTGTTACAGAAGATTGTCAGGTCTTATCACAGCATAATCTGTATCATGGCACCTTTTGTAATATTGGTTACACCCATAGACAGGTCTAGCTATAAGATATACCTGGTATATAAATTGCCATAATAATGATAGGTTAGAATAACACATCAAGGTAAGCTCTCAGGAGTGCTCTCTGAAACAGGGACATTAAAATGAATAAAATAGCCTTGGACTGTGGCTACCTGTTGAAGGAGCATATCCATTATGTTTGGACTGTTTTACACACTTGACAACTGCGTCAATCATCTCAGGACAAGGTTCCAAATTTCCAAACACCGATGGGTCCCCTAAAAAAGAAAAAGATCAAGCCATCAGAATTTCACCAATCTGGCTAGAAATCCAAAATAATCATATTCCAACTTGTTTTTGGCAAAAGTGTTACATATTAAAATTTTTAAATACAACATATTGAAAATGCACAACGTTTCCATATCGTCATGATATCACTGTCAAGTGATATGTTTAAAAATAATATTTCACTAAATGTTTGCTTGTAATGTATTAAATCACTCGCTAACTCATTCACTCATTCTCTTTGCTCCAGCGAGTGGAGCATAAGGCTACAACAATAATTAAATACCATAGTTTACATATAATATAATGAGAGCTGAGATTTATTCAGAAAAAAAAATCAAGAAGACAAACTGAACAAAAGTGGCCTAGGGTAGAAGAAACTCAGCACTTCTCTCTGCCTCTGTTTTTCAACGGAATTAATTACATGCATTGTCATGTGAACTTACCAATAGACAAAGCAATCATCTGTTTCTCAGGGTTTGGTGTTATCTTCATTCTATCTACAATAGATCTTATTGGGTTGAATGTTGTTTTGGCTGTGACAGAGGCAGGAATATGCCATCTCCTTCTCTTTGCAGTTGACATAACCTTAAAGTGAGACAAAAATATTATGAAATGTAGTGTGTAGAATGTCCTCTTTTTTAATACGAGATTTATTACTTTTTTATAATTATAATTTACGAAATAATGAAAAATATCTATTATTTTTTTAGATGCTGTAAAATCACAAACTGTGATTGCAGATTATTTGAATTTCCACTTGACTGAAAGTTACCATTTTTGGTGGAGAGAAACAACAGCCAGAAAATATGCAAAGTCTGCATACTTAGCAACTAACAACAGAGCAGATGAAAGTGTAGATCATGTTGGTAATTCCGACGTGACTAACATGTAACCTGAACCCTGTGATGGAGAGGCAGGACTGTTGTTAAGGCTGTAACACCTGTTGTGGCTGAGTATGCTTAATTTTTCCTTAATGCTACAGAAGTTGCCTGTTGTTCAGATACAATTCACCCACAAAGTAACAAGTTTGTTACAGGTGTGAACAGCAAGGCTTAACAGGTGACTCAAAACTTAATGACAGCTCTGGAGAGGTACAGTGTCTCTAGTATGATTCAATGGAAGATCTACTTTTTACACTTAAACCCCTGTGAGTTTCTTCAGTCATTGAAAGTTATTTTTTCTTTGGGTCAACTCCATGCCTTTTCAAACAAGTTTTTGTTTCCCTTGACCTTGAATTAACCCCTCTAATCTTTAATGTCATTGTTAGAGTTAAAAGATAAACATCATGAGTTCAGACCATGCCAGAACACCACTTAAATGTGACAATTCGGTCCTTTCATCACCCTAAGTCCTATAATGTAATCACCTTTTTGCTCAGGTTTGCATTTCATTACAATAATTGCATGTTAATTGTTATTCAACTGATTATTATTTTGATATTCAATGTTGACCAAGGTATTTCAACTATATATCATGGCTATTTTCAAAATGTAGGTTGCAAAATGTAAGTACAGTATTAAATTATTGAAACACCTTTGACTGAATTCCTCTTGGAAGTGAATCTTTATTTCTCGTCAATAACCTGGTTTCGTTCAGTATATCAGACTGCGATCGTGATTGCTTTTTTTGTTGCTATAGTTAATTTTAAACCACGCACTTTGTCTTTTCAAGTTAATGTATGCTAATTAAACTCATATGTCTGCCAGCAGTGATGCAACAAACACAGATGTAAACAGACATTGATCACTATAAAATGTGCTTTTAAAACTGTGTAAAACAAGATGAAATTACATGCATTGCTCATATGTCTTACGTTCTCTCGAAACGATAACCTCGTTGACAGCTCTGTTCCGCACAACTTGATAATATTATACTGTATATCGAAATTTTTCTCATCCGCCTCACGGTTGACACGTAGGATTTCATAATTTTGCATCTATTTAAAACGAGAACACACTTTAATATGGCGTTTCAAGACTGAAGGGAATCAGCAACGAACGAATGAAACCTGACCGTGGAACTAACGTAGTTAGTATTGCTGGTACAGAAACTAAGCTTGCGGGTTCATGTAATAACAATGTTGTTTATATTGTATATCGACAGAAAAAAAAACTGTACATTCAATTTGCTCCTCTCGATTATACACATTACAAGTACAGAACAGCATTAAACTTTAACGTTACTTCGCGGGCAAACTGCACGTGAGTAAATACGTGAGTGAACATTGTACGCAAGTCTTACGTAAGCCATGACACTGCGATTAAACCACAAAGACAGTCGACAAATTTAGACGGTCCAGTGAATTTTCCTTTTTTTATTTCTTGTCATACTTGTTCTACACTATTCTACTGTATAACTTGACATAGATTTTCAGGCTCGTAGAAATTTTTTCAATACCTCTAGTATGTCAAGTGTTAAACAGGGAGGGAGTAAGTTCTTATTTTTATTTTACAAGAAGTGTCGAAGGTTCGCGATTTATAGAAATTTATTCAGTTGGGAGGCGGGTAAATGACGATAACAAAATCTGTTTGTAAAGTTAAAAGGTATTAAAGTAGGGAATGGGAAATAACTTTAGCTTAATTGTCCAAACGTTATCGGCAAGTTATTGGTTAAAACTTTACTAGGTCTTACTACGTATCAATCTGATCAAGTACAATGTTTTACGGTCAGTGGAAATTAAACCACAGTAACATGGCTAGGCGGCCATGTACACATAATGTACAAAAAAATTTGAACATCACCATCATAGATTCAACTTACAAAACCGTGAACATTTCTGTCACTTCTCTTAAACTGACAAGTATGAGAGAAATGATAGAAATGTTAGCCCGCCTTCAGAACTTTCTAGTGTAGCTCAAGATCAACCAACAATCGTCTCTAAAACAAAGACGGTTTTCGCCGTGAAAATTTGTATAGACGTTAATGTTACCGAAATCAAACATTTGCAGAAGAATAGTGCTCTTTGTGAATAGCGATAAAGATTGTGGAATTTTCACGAGCGATGCGATTGAGTAGGTATACTAAACGGATGCGTTTTATATAAATTTGACTTTGTTTGGCAGTCGCGGTCATCGAATCATCTGGCAAATAACCCTCAAAACTGGAATAAGGCTTAAATTATCTAGATTTAATGTGTTGAAAATAGTAATACCTACCTTGGTGTTGTATTTAAAGTGATATTGATGGCAAAATTTTGAAGAAAACCTGGGAGAATCAGCAATACACCGCTTAGCCAGCCGTCAACGTAATTGCTCTCTTCGCTGCTGAACACATGTTAAATTCATCAGGTTATATAACCACTGATGTGATTAGTCAATCAGCTGTCACACCCCCATAAACACCCCATATCCACCCAGACTATCAACCAATGAAATTAAAGAACTTAACAAAGAGGCGCTTTCGAAATTGTTTTGCGCGGTCAAATTGATAAATTTATTAAAATATTCGAAAACAATTGTTTCCTTTACTCTAATTTGAACCCTTTTTCAAGTGCCACTATGATCAAATTCTCCATACCCATTTTTTTACATTTTCGCACACAATAGGTCTTTCCTAGATTTTTTGCCAAATTTCAATCTATTACGAACATTAGAACTCATGTCGTTTGGACCTTT